AAGGATGGTCTTTTCAGTTAATGACAGAAAAATCAAATCCTCTCATTTTAGAAAAAAACGTATAGTTGAAATGTCCATATTTAAAAAGACAACCTAAAATCAATAACTTAATCTTATACTTTAAGACACTGGAAGAAGAAGAGCAATGTAAACTTAAAGCCAATTGAAGGAAGAAAATAATTAAAACAGAGCAGAAATTAATAGACAATAAAAAATCAATAGAGAAAATCAATAAAAGCAAAAGTTTGTTCTTTAAGATTAAGAAAACTGAAATCTTTAGCCACCCCCCCAAAAAGAAAAAAACCCAAATTACTAAAATCAAGAATGAAAGTGGAGTCATACTACAAATCTTACAAAACTAAAAAAGATTATAAGGGAATATCATGAACGATTAATTATATTGCAACAAATTAAATAATTTAGATGAAATGAACAACTTCTAAAAAGATACAACTACCAAAACTTAACTCCAGGAAAAAAATAGAAAGTCTAAATAGACTTTTAACGATAAAGAGATTAAGTAAAAATTTTCCCACAAATGAAAACTCAGGCTCAGATGGCTTCACTATTGAATTATATCAAACATTTAAAGGAGAATTAATACCATTTTTTTTTTTTTAACAAATTTTTCCCAAAAGAAAAATAGAAGATGAGGGAACATTTTCCAACTCATTTTATGAACCTGGTATTTTCTCTGATTCTAAAACCAGACTAAGCACAAGAAAACTAGACCAATATTCCTAATGAATATAGACACAAAAATAATAAAATTCTAGCAAACTAACTTAAACAACATAAAAAAAAGGATTATAGTACATGACCAAGGGGGATTTATCCCAGAAATGAAAGGGTGCTCTAACTTAAAAAAATTCAATTAATGTAATATACCAGATCAATAGAATAAAGATTAACTAACGTGATTATAACAGATGACAAAAAGCATTTGAAAAATATTAGCATTTCGTGATAATAAAAACACTAGGCAAACTAGGAATAGAAAGAAAACTTTCTCAACCAGTTACAGGACACACATGAAAATTCAACAGCTAACATCATACTTAATGGCAAAAGCCTGAAAGCTTATCCCCTAAGATCAGGAACAAGATAAGGATGTTATTTCCAATTTATATTCAAGCCAAAAGAACTGGGCCAAAAAAAAAAAAACAAAAAAAACCAAAAAACAAATAAAAGGCATCCAGATTGGAAAGGAAGAAGTAGAATTATCTCTATTTGTACATAGCATGAAGGGTATACGATTAATATACAATAATTGATTGTATTTCTATAAACTAACGTAAACTGAAAATAAAATGAAAAAAACAATTCTACTTATAATAGCATAAAATATAAAATATTTATGAATAAATTTAACAAAAGAAGTACAAAACTTATACCCAAAATTATAAAACATTGTTGAAATAAAGAAACTTTTAAAGAATGGAATGATAACCTATGTTCATAGATTGGCTTTATTGTTAATATGGCAATACTTCCTAAACTGATCTGTAGATTTAATGCCACCCTTATCAAAATTTCAACTGACTTATTTGCAGATATTAGCAAGCTGATTCTAAAATGTATATGGAAATTTAAGGGACCCAGAATAGGAAAAACAATCCTGAAAACAAAGAATGAAGTTGTAGATCTCACTAATATAAAAATCTAGAAATTACTAAAAAGCTACAGTAATCAAGACCATCTGATACTGGCATAAAAATAAATATGCAGATCAATGGGATAGAATTGGGAGACCAGAAATAAACATTTATGTAAATTAGTTTATTGTCAATTGATTTTTAACAAGGGTGTACCAACTGCTCGATAGGGGAAAGAAATGGTGCTGGGACAACTAGATAACCACATAAAAATTAATTTGGACTTCTTATATCCTATTAAAAAATTAACTTGAAGTTGATCAAAGACCTAATTGTAAGAGCTAAAGTTATAATATTCTTATAAGAAACTTTAGGTTATGCAAAGCCTTCTTAGATATGATACTAGAAGACCAAGAATCCAAAGAAAAAATGGACTGAATTTCATCAACATTTTTTAGAAATTTTTGTCTTTCAAAGAACACCATCAAGAAAGTGAAAAGACAACCAGCAGAATGGGAGAAAATATTAAATCATAGATCTGATAAGGGACTTGTATTTAGAACACAGAAAAAACTCATAACTCAATAATATAAAGACAACTTCATTATACATTGGGCAAGGACTCTGAATAGACATCTCAAAGACATATAAATGGTCACTCAACTCATGAAAAGATGCTCTTCATTATTAACCATTAGATAAATATAAATCAAAAGCACAACGTGATCCCACTTCACACCCACTAGGATGGTTTAATCAAAAAGATAAATGTTGACAAGGATGTGGAGAAATTAGAATCTTCATACATTGCAGGTAGTAAGTAATGTAAAGTGGTGCAATTTCTTTGGAAACCAGTCTGGCTCAAAAGGTTAAACATAGATTCACCATATGTCCTGGCTATTCCACTCATAGGTATACATCCAAGAGATGTGAAAGCATATGTTCTTACAAAAAACTTGTACACAAATGTTCATACCAACGTTATTTATAACAGCTCAAACAGTGGAAACAATCCAAATGTCCATCCTCTGTTAAATGGGTAATTGTGGTTTGTTCATACAATGGAATGTTATTTGGCTATAAAAAGGACAAAGTATTGTTACAGGTGACAGCATGAATAAACCTTGAACACACTATTGTAAGTGGAAGAAGTCATGTACCAAAGACTACATGTGGTATGATTCCATTTATATGAACTAGTTAGAATAGGCAAATCCATAGAAACAGAAAGAATATTATGCCTGTATAGGCCTGGGGACATTGGGAGTCCATGAGGAGTAACTGCTAATGGGTATTGATCTATTTTGGAGTGATCAAATGTCCTAAAATTGATCATGGTGAAGGTTGCATATCTTTGTGAATACTAAAAAATCATTGAATTGTACACTTACGTGTATGAATTGTATGGTATGTGAATTATACCTCAAAAAGCTTTTTAAAAATGTGACTAACATTTACTGCTTTGAATGTTCAGTGAAGCTTTTCTTTGCAGCTAAATATATCCCTAAGTCTTGGGAATATATTGAGAGTAGCTAAAAGACTTTGTTTAAAGAATGTTTTTCTTTTTGAGTTTCTTACTAGTACTCTCTTTTCATCAATGTCATGAGACTTTCTCTCAAGAGTGACATATTCTTTAACAATAGTCCAGAAATAAAAGAAGCAAATGTTTTGACAAGAATTCTTAAGTATTACCACACTCTACCATGCATTTGAATTCAGAACATTCCAACATGGACCTCAATAGTACTTTTTCTAATGACGTGTGTATCTAATACAAATTACCACCAATCAAGTGGCTTCGACAACTCAAATTTATTATTTTATAATTCTATAGTTTAGAAATTTGGTGCAGATCTCTCTGGATTAAAATTAAGCTGTCTCCAGTGCAGCATTCCTTCTAGGGACTCTGACAGAGAATCTGTTTCCTTGCCTTTTCCAGTTTCTAGAACTACTCCTTGTACTCCTTGGTTCATGTCCCACTGCCTCCATCTTCAAAGTCAGCAGTGAATGGTCAAGTCCTGACATTGCATCACCCTGACCTAGCTTCCATGGTCACATCTCTTTTCCTGACTTTCTTTCTCTGCATCTCTCTTTCACTTTTAAAGACCCTCATGTTTACCTTGGGCCCACCAGAATAATCCAGGATAATCTGCCAATTTTAAGGTCAGATGATTAACAGTCTTAATTTCATTTGCAGCCTTAACTCCTCTTTTCCATATAATTTACTATGTACATAAGTTATGGGCATCTTTGGGAGGAGGGCATTATTCTGCCTACCATGCCATGATTTCATCCTGGTAGAAATGTGTCTTAATCAAAGTAATGGAGGAAGCCCTATGAGTTCATGGTAGTTTCATTAATTAGTAAAGACAAATTCCTCTTTTGGGCAATGTGCTACAGTAAATTTTGACATGAGCGAAGGGTAGATCTTTATGTTGTAAAGTGGAGAAAGGCTATCGTGAACTCAAGTCTGTTCTCAGGCAAACGAATTTTAGGGGAAAAATAGATGTAGACATTGAGGATCTGGAACAGCAGTGATTGCTTTCAAATTATTGGGATGACATAGTCACCAAAAGGCTTCCCATGACCCAGGACCCCAGTTAGATGATCATTGATTTGGGATAGTGGTTTCCAAACTTGGCTGACTTTGTAATTACCTGAGACATTTAAAAAATAATATCAGATTTCCAGGCTTTAAATCAGATCTTCTAGTTCAGAAGTTCAGAAGCAGAGATGCAAAAGATGTTTTCAAAAATTTCTTTAACTGTCTCAGATAATTAGCTAGCTTAGATAACAATTGGTTTAGAAAACAGAGTGAAATTAGTAATGATATAAGATGCATGTGTTCACTAGCCACTTCTATTATTTTCTGGTTAGTTTTGAAGGTTACGGAACATGTAAATATGACCTAGCACTTTGACCAGTCTAACTACTGTGTAGCAAATAGAGAAATCTGAAAATATCATTCTTCTCATTTCCAAGTAATCACCACCAGCTACAGAAAACTAGAACCATTGGATTTTTTCCTCTTTTGGACATATATACTTTGCCATTATAAGCTGTGCTTTATATTAGTTTGATTCTTGTTAATTTGTTATAATGTGATTAGGTAAGGTATATTATTATCCCACAGATCTACTATAAGAATATAGCAATGTTTGTGATCACTGCATTTTTATCAAAAGTGAGATATACAAAGTCATGGTTGTAATTACTATCTAAAGTCTATTAATTAGCATATTATCTACATCTTACAGGCCAAATGTTGACTCTTTTTGTAAGTTAGCTTAATTCACTTTTCAGAAATAAGAAGAGACACTTTGTAACCAAATATGCAGTTAATCAGGACAACAGTTGATCATGAAATATTTCTGATAAGACTGAAATGTTGCATTTTATCTGTAGATATTACTCTACAGAAAGAAATTCAGGAAGGAACTCCACCCCTAACCCAGAGTCAGGAACCCCTGAAACCTCAGGAGAATATATCACGACCCATTCATCATCCTTTAGTTTTAAAAACTAACTTTGATGAAGAAGAGGAAGAAGGAGATGAACAAAATGGTTAGTAAACTTTTTCTCAGATTTAAAATGCACATTTGAAAAATTCATATTTTCTACATATTTGTTTAACTATTAGGGGTTTGTAATGTAATACGTAAGGCAGATTTTGATGAGAAAAATAGCTTTAAATTTATTAAGTATAGTAAATTAATTAAGTTCTCATTTGTTCTATGTCTACACATGCTTATCATTTGGATTGGAAGGCTTTTGTTGTATGAGGGGTGGAAGACAGATCTGATGATCGAATATGTACAGTTGCTTGTAGGAATACTAATAATTTATTTATATATAACAACTTTTATTATATGATTACATCTGTTTCATTATCCCAAGTAATCTTTGCAAAAGTATAAACAACTTTAGAAACTAGTTCTTTTTCATCCTAGTCTATCCTATTCTTCTCATATTATCATCACACTGTGGTGCCAATAAGTATATATAAAAAAGATAAAAATGCAGGAAAATAAACTCACTCTGTCTTTGCCCTGAAATGTGGCTACAGGCCACATAGTTTCTGTGCCTAAGAATACGTGGGCTTATTTATTCCTGTTTTTGTCTGCTTTAGCACCAGGTCTCCCCTTCCTACACCTTCCTCCAAACAAATATGATCTCAACATGATAATCTATTATGTCCAGCTTCTCATCTCAAAATACATAATGTATAGTTAGTGATTTTTTCTCTTGATTGATTCTTTCTAATAGATGAAATATAGCAATTAGAAACATTGACAACATGCAAGTTATTGATTTTAGAAATTAAAAAAATAAAATAGTAATCCACCCATGAGAACAATGTTTGGGATTTTTCATTCTGGTTTATAAATTTTCAGATTATTTGACTTTGGGACAATTTAATTTAAAAAAAATATATCCTATAGATGCTTCTAGTTTATGGACAAAGACTCCTGAAGAAATTGAAGAAAAAAGAGCAATAAAGGAGATGTGTTATAAATCTGGTAAGCAATCAAACATTTGTGGATTTTCTAATACTTGATGTGATAAATATACTAACCATTGCTTTTCTTATGGGAGATCAGGTGAATACTACAGATTTCATACTCCTCCAGATATTTCATCATCAAAAAGCATAGCTTCTACAGCAGAAAAAGAGTTAGAAAAACCTTTGGAAAATGGCAGAGAATTGCAAGAAGGTAATTAAAATTCAGCATTTCAAGGTGATGCATAAGAGGTACTCGGTGTGATAGGCTGTAAATTATTTAGTAAGATTCACACTAGAGTTAAATGATAAATAATACATAAGAATTGAGAGTGAGAAGAACGTGCTTTTATTGGATGACTTAAGTTTAATATAAAAAGCTGCCACTAATATAATTATGCTTTCCCAGAGGAGCCATGAAATAAATAGACTTCGTAACACATGGTAACACTACATACCCCATGCAGTAATTCTGTAAATAATTTGCTTTTACCATTTTATTTGTCTATGAAAATAAAACTCCCTGTGAAATAGGTGTATATTTTTCTTTATGAATGGAAAGGACAACCCAGCCCTAGAAGGACAAAAGGGAGGATCACAGAATGATTTTAGTGGCAGAACAAGGGTACATTTGTTCATTGAATGAGGGGCCTTCTGCGTAAGCAGGCAATTCCAAGGGCAATGCAGATGAATAACTCCAAGGCTGCGCCTTTCATGGATTTTATACTTTGGTGAATCTGATTTTTCTGCTGGTGAACATTTTTCCTTTGAAGGCAAGATAACAACATTGTTTTCTGGACATAAAATCAGGAACTCGGAGAAAATCCATGATGCCATAAGTTTATGTAATTTTCTTGCCCTTAGGATGAGCTGAAAAACGATCTTTGCAGTAGTAGGAGAGATTTGAATCCCTTCCTACCCTTAAAAATGTATAAAATGTGTATTATATATTTATAATTTCTCCTAGGATCAAGATGAGTGTGATAGGATAAAGAATAAAGTACCTGTCTTGCAAGTACATTATATAGCAAACCATTTAAACATATGGCAGTAGGTGGCAGCAACATACCACCAAATGGTAGAACAATCAGAAAACTAATTGATACAGGTGAGAGCCTTCTAGGGAAGGAAGGACAAGATGGCCAACATTACTCAGACACACACTCAAAACAAACCCCAAAACAAGAATGAAGAAAACAAGTTAGCAATGAATATTAAAAATGATAGATCATAAAGACAATTATAGGCACTTTCACTTTACATTATGTTTTTAAAAGCCTTTTATTTTTAAATAATTTCAGTTAATTCACTAAAACCCTTTACCTAGATTTCCCCAAATGTTAGCAATTCACACATGTGATTTTTCACTTTATCACTCTAAATGAAACATTGTTGTTATTATTTGTGAATTATTTGAGAGTAAAGTTTCAGACGTGATGACCTTACGTAAATGTTACATAACTGTAGTATAAATAAAAAATCAAGAAATCACCACTGATACAATATCATTTACAAACTTTTTTTTTTTTTTACAAATTTCACCAACTGTGTCATCAATTCCTTTATAGCAAACTGAAGTTTTTTTTCCTGGTTTAAAATCTAATCCAGAACCATGTGTTTCATTAGTTTGTCATGTCTTTTTTATTCTGCTTTTAAAAGTTTATTTTAGAAGAAAATTTGAGATGTATAAGGGGAATAGTGAGAATTATTTATCACAGCATAATTAGCATATTTTAGTCAATAGTAGACTAATATTTTTTACCCAATTTCATGGTGAATAGATATACAAATAAACATTACAGAATTCATTATATTAAAAATATTAAATGAATTAAATATACATACACAATAATGTTAGATTGCTTAAATTTTTTAATTGGCATTTTATAAATTATCCACATAGGAAAATAAATTTGCTCTATGCTTTCCTGATAATTATAAAATTTGCTTAAATTCATGTATTTATAAATTTATTGTTCTTCATATCATTATACAAACAATACTTGCATTAACTTTTAGGCATCATCATAAATTTTACTATCATCATAAATTCTATCATAAACTTATGTAAGCACCTAGTAATTCCTGGGATGACTTTTCAAAATATTTTTATATCTAGGGGATGGTCTTACAGTTCCAACAAAATTTAGCCTATTTGAAAGACAAGGTGAGATAAAAGCATTATTGGATAGGAAACCAAGGACTGACATTGCTGCTTTCGAAAACGGAGGTGAGTTATTTTATTACTGGTTGATTCCTAATGTATCATCTTGTAGTAAATGAGTCTGAATTTTCTCTCATAACTAATTTTGTTTCATCAAAGTCTTTTTAGCATTTTTATTGTTGGCTTTGGGTAAACTCCTTGAGGCCAGGAAGTGTACTTAATCAATTGGCATAGATGAATCCCTGTAGTAGAATGTCTGGCACCTGGTGTGCACTCTGTAAATATTTGTAGAATAAATTACTTTCTGTTTGAACAATTAAATGACTGGATGAATGCAGACATGTTTATAAAATTTATGGATGACTGAAAATTAATATGTTAGAATGATGAGCCAAATTTAATAAGGCAAACTCAAACTGGGATAAACAAAGCTTTGCATTTAAGATCAAGACATCAATGCTGGGTTTACTTCAATTTGGCAAAGTCCTCACATGATACAGATTGTGAGGAAAAAATAAGTGTTTTTTTGTTGGTTGTAAGGTCTCAGTGATGTGTGTTAGCTAGCAAATAGCTAAGGTAAACTAACATAGAATTATTAGAAGTAGTATAGAAGATAATTAAATGTTATAAGTAATTTAGAGTACTCAATAGTGTCTGACATATAGAAGAATGCTCCATAAAGGTCGAATATTATTGTATTAGTTTCGCTGAATTTTGTACAAGGCAGTCCACATTTGGGTGTCACCTTTAAAAAAGGTTATTTGAAACAATTATTTTATGTTGAGAAAGAGTGACTTGTGTGGTTAATCATCTAAAAATTAAGTACATGAGTAAAAATTATTGTAGCTACAGATATTTATCCTGCGAAAAGGAGACCTTTAAGGAACATAAAAAACTGCTTTCATATGGCTGGAGATATTATATGGAAGATAAATTATATTTACTTTGAATATCTCTAAAGAGTGGTAAAAGGTGGAAGCAAAAACTGTTATACATTAAAGGAAAATTAATTGTGTTGACTATGTAAAATTCCTTGCAATTATCAGTATGTAAATATAATACTGTATATTCATATACATAGATATGCCTGTGTGTTAATCTAAGTGTATATAATACTGAAATATGGGGATGGTATCACTGGGAGGTGTTTAAACAAAAGTGGATGAAAGAGGTATTATAGAAGAGAGTAATCCTGTATCGAAAGATAGTTTCGTACAACTTTCTGCCATCATTGCCACTGACAGTAAGTTATTGTCATAGGAGGTGATTGTTCCATTCCACAGAGGATCATATTTCTTGGAGTAGATGAAAATGAAGCTTTAACTGAGGACAAAGAAATCACCGTATCAAAATGTTCAAATATTAAAGGTAATAAACCATTTATAATTTTAATCAATCTGTAATTGGGATAGATAAGTTAAGCATAAAGCTTGATTATAGTAGGCAAGGTAATAAATACAGTGCAATAGACAGGTAATAAATAAGAATATATACTAAATACACTAAATGGGAGTGAAGAGCCCTAAGGTTCCAGCCCTGGCTCTGTCACTAATTTTTTTACCATGGGACTTATCTAATTAGCCTGAAAAATTCACCAGTTAGGCTACCTAATTTCTAGGAGTCTAGCTAGCTCTAAAGTCATTGGTTCTCTTAAACAGTAATATCGGGTTACTTTCAGTTTCTTCTTCCAACTTCAAATATTCAGTATGATAGAATTTTCCTAGAAAGCTTTGTTTGTGAACACTGTGAAGTTTTAATCTCATGATAACTTTCATGACTTCCCCATTTAATAATTATAATTAATTATAGCCTGTGAATAATCAAGAGATAGGATAATAAAATACGACCTCTATAGTTTTATGCTGCTTAGAATTCCCCAGTTGATATCACTCTGCTGGGCAGCTCTCTTAGTCACAGACTAAAAACACAGCTGTCCTGCAGTTAGAGGGCTTTACATAGTCTCCATCCGATTATTAACCTACTTTATCTACTGTTTTTCCCACCATTATATGTTCTCAAAAATAAGAAAAGTCATTTGTAATAAAATTAAAGAAATCTTGTGGAAAATTATGTGTAAATTTCTCTTCTCTCTCAGAGATAAAAAAGTTTTGCCCAATATATCAAAAACAACAACAACAACAACAACAACAACAACAACAACAAAAACAAACACAAAAAACCTAAAGCTACACTAATAACAGTAGCTACTATCCACATGTGGCTGTTTAAATTAATTAAAATTAAATAAAACAAAAATTCAACTCTTCAGTTGCACTAGCCGTATTCCAAGTGTTCAATATCCCCAGGTGACTAGCAGCTATCATTTTGAACAACACAGATTTAGACAATTTTCATTACTGAAGAAAGCTCTGTTGGGCAGCCCTGATCCAAAGTATAGAAAAAGTGAAAGTTGTAATTTTAAAATATTTTTGGAACTTAATTTAAATTGGCACATTTGATGTAAATTTGATCACCTTTTAATTCTTTTGTATGGAGTTATTAAAAATATTGCCATAAATATATAACTTACATATTGATCATAATATCTGTGTTTCTGAACTCTAATGTTATGTTAGTAATAAAATTTGGAAACTCTGAATTAATTACAGAAATTCAGTAATTGTTCTTAAAATTAATGTACATATATTTTAGAGAGGTGTAACCATCATATAGTGTTTGAAAAGTGAAATACCAACCGAGGCACTTCTTTTACTAATACTGACATTTTATTTTCTTAATTTGCTTTAAAAGATAACACGGACAGTCCTCATCCAAAGCGTTCCCTAACTACCCGACTAGTACCTACAACGCATGTATTAAATGCTACTGAGAATATCAGTATGAAGTGCAGAGAGGACCCCTCTTCAAGTGAGAGCTCTATCTCTTTTTGGCCTTAGATATATTTGTCTTATCATGAATTTGTTTTGCTTATTTGAAATAGAATTTTAAAAAAGAAAGAAAAAAGGATGGTTTAAAAATTATTCAGGATTAAGAATTAAAGACAATATTTTTCTACTAACTCTGACAATGAATTGTGATGTAGGTCCTAGTAAATAATATACTTTCCCACTATTTTAATTAAGGTATTAAAATTAATAACACTATCTGCTTGGAAGATTCATTAGTATGATATTTTAACCCATATTGGAATACATCGACATGCTTTTATTATGTTTTGGGGACATTTTTCTTTGTTTAGCTTCTCCATACCATTCTGAGCTCTGAGCTACTTTTCTTGATACAATTAAGACTCATGAATCTTCCTCTCTTTCCTTTGCTCTTTCCTCCTTTCCTTTATTTTATTTATTGAACCCACAGAATATTTTGGGATCCTAGCTAGGCACTAAGGAAACTGTGATGGTTTACCCCCAAGAAGTTCAGTTTAGTGGTACTTTTTAAAAATATGGTTTCCAAAACCTAGAGGTGGGAGATTGGAAGTAAGGGTGGAGCATGATGTTTAGAGAGAAGGCAGTGAATCAGTTTCATTGAAGGCCTGATTCTTTAGCTGAGGTGGAGAGCTAGAGAAAGACATTTATTAGTGCACTATAGAGAATGAATGTAATCTATGTAGCACATTTGTTAGTTGTGCATGTTTTGGATCTCTGCACAGAGAAATAACAAAGAATGCTCTCTCTACTAAATTGTTTTAAGATTCTCTGAGAAATGTACCTTAAAAGTTCCTGGAAAATTGGGTATACATATACAAATTTTGATGAAAAAATATGCAAGTAAAAAGTGAATAATTTAGTGATCGTAGCACTTACGAATTCTGATTATTCAGTCTTGTATCACCAAACCATTTGTACACAAAACTTCTTAAGATTTTAAAAGATAAGGTAAAATTCACTGAATGTATTTTACGTTAATCTATCTTTTTAAGATGTAATAAGTTTGGCTAAAAATATACAAAAGGATTTATATTCAAAATAATTCTAAAACTACTTAAAATAACATTATGAGATAGATATATAATTATATTTGAAGTGTAATTTTATGTTCTTTTAAAAGAATCCACACATTCCTTTGGACAAAAGCATTTTTCTCTGAGGAATGTTACCTATTGAAAGTTTTCTCATCTATTTTCAAGATAGATTTTTTTGGGGAGTACTTAAAAATAAATCACCCTTTGTTCTAGAGAGTAAAGTATTAGGGTGGTGAATTTATTTTTTCTCTTGCTTGACATGTGAATGCACAGATATGTAATTACCACTTACAGTAATTTTCAGATGAAAGCATCTCTTTAAAAAACTGTAACAATTTGTATCTCCTCTAAGTGAATGATGTCCAGCCAGTGAGGAAGCCTCATTTTAAAGGCGTGAAAAAAAGAAAATGGATTTATGATGAACCTAAGAACTTTCCTGGCCCAGGAATGCGAAGAGGTAAAGTGTCTATATATTAGATATTTCTAAATTGTAATTTGAAAAGAGATTAAATATCAAATAATATTTTATGCATGAAAAACAAATTACTGTTGTGAAACGTTATTTTAGATATCAACCCAACTCCAATAAACTTAGTTCTTTTAGCTTACATTGTCTTGTGCTATCAAACACTTAAAGTGCAATATATTTTCTATGGGTATGAAACCAGCTTGTTTTTACCATTCCTTTGCCTCTGTCTTTTACAGCAGTGCAGGCCCCAAATCCCAAAAATAAAATGAGTTACCATCGCAATCATAAAAATGGAAATGCCGAGAATGCATCCCATATCCATGTTCAGAGGGATGCTGTCAGGACTGTCTCATTAAGTGCAACTCCCCGCAGCAGACCCACAAACGGTTTCTACAACAAAGTCAATGTTAACAAGGAACCCAAACTCAACCTCTGCCCAGGTGAGGCTCTTCACTTATATGGTTTACTGATGTCTGTAGTTTACATACCCATGGAATTTCCTAATGATCCAACGAATCTTCACTGCTACCTACTCCTCCCCTCTCCTTTTTCCAGGCCATCAACACCGTCTTAGAAAACCAGTGAGAGTATTTCTTCCATGTGCAGTAGTGAACATAATTTAAAGGATATGGAAGAAAACATGTTGGTGCAGATGACTTGATATTGAACTACCTTAGAGTTTTGTCTCAGATCACTGCACTTTTTCCCCCCGGATATCTTTATTTCACTCTCGAAAATTTTTTTCAAATGTTTGACATTTTCTTGTCTCACTATCTGCAGTGTTTTAATTATCACTTTCAAGCTAATGCCTTGGCTTTTCTTTAGACCCTCATGATTGCTTTCTGAAGGGGTTAGTTAGTTTGGGGTTAACTGATATTTTTGACAACCTCACATCTCTCCCATCATGGACAGATTGCTTCGAAATCATTTCATCATGTAATAGGCTAAATTATGGTATGTGTCAGGAAGTACAAGGCCACAAGGAAGGTGGGAACCAAATATTTTTTTCTTCATGTCTCAGATGAATTTTTCTCTTTTGAAGTTGGGTTTCACTTTTCTCAATTTAACAAAAAGTGACTCGATTACTTATTATTTCATGTTTATATTTTCCTATGTTCACACTCTAGTAAGTGGACCTCTGAGTGTTGTATGCTTTATGAAATATAAGTAAAAATTCTATGTCTCTTTTAGGTTCTTTTTTCATAATTTAAATAGAAGTTAGCTTTATTTAAATTGTTTTTCTCCATTTTTTTTTAGAATAGAATGATGTGTGGATTTATACATAAAAATAAGAATATTTTTAGGTGATATAAGCTTTGATTTCTTACTATTATTATTTTATTATTAATTTATTATTTGCTGTGATTATATGGCTGTGAAGAATAGAATGACTACCAGAATAATTTGGTGATGTTATATACATTTGTGTTAAGGTAGCCATAGTTATACTCATGATTGCTTTTGTATCATTAGTGCAAATGTTGACACAGGAGGAAAAAGCAAATACATTTTTAGTATTATTATGGACCAGGCTTTGAGAATCACAGAGGCATACTAATACTTGAAAACATAAATACAACATTGTTAGATGATAGTTCAAATACACAGCTGTCAGAGGAAAGTATATATTTAAGGTTGAAGTCATTATATAAATGCTTTGGTTTCCTGGGACAGTGAGTTCATTATGGCAGCACAATTATTGCCATCATGGGTCTTCCTTCCTTCCTTCCTTCCTTCCTTCCTTCCTTCCTTCCTTCCTTCCTCTCTCCCTCTCCCTCTCTCTTTCGCTTTCTTTCTCTCTCTCTTTTCTTTCTCTTTTCTTTCTTTCTTTCTTTCTTTCTTTCTTTCTTTCTTTCTTTCTTTCTTTCTTTCTTTCTTTCTTTCTTTCTTTTTTTTTCTTTCTTTCTTCTCTTTCTTCTCTTTCTCTCTTTCTCTCTTTCTCTCCCTTCCTTCCTTCCTTCCTTCCTTCCTTCCTTCCTTCCTTCCTTCCTTCCTTCCTTTGAAACCACAAATATTAGCAAAATTCTATGTAAAATCAAGTTAAAGCAAGGCCATGAAGTATTTTGATCACATTCAGATACCATACTCTCCTCTAGCTTAGTCTCATGGGAGAGAGCCTTATCTGAGGAACTGGGCAGCCAATGAAGAGATGTGTAACAATTTCATTGATAATGTAAATGGTCTTGATAAGCTCACTTGTGTCCCTGATCTCTTAGCTTTGAAATGGTAAAATGAGAATAACTTTGCCTCTGAGATGTTTGTAAGTTTGAAACACTCCTGGAACATGATTTTAAAGTTATACAATATTTAACTCGAGTCTTTTTTTTTTTTTCTCAGATAAATATATGTCAACATCATATAATGGTTCAGCCTGGCGAAAAAGAATTCCTTTTTCAAAAACATATTCAAAAACTGAAAAGATATGTACAGGTAAATATTTACTAGTGATTTTAATGTGTCATACAATTTCAAAAATAAATGACAAGTTTTTAAGCTCAAGGAACATTTAAGAAAATTTTTCTTATATAGATGAACATAATTACTTGGAGTTTAGT